TTACTTTCTCCATGATCCTTGATATGACAGGTGTAATACTGATAGGCCTATTATTGCATGCAATAGTTTCAGCTCCTGCGTTATGTTAGGCAATATATATGTGTTTTTCCAAATTTTAGGGTAGGTCCTAGTGTCTAGTGAGAGGGTAAATATTCCAAGTAATAATACTATTACATCCATTCTACCCTTTTTGTGTATGACTGATGTTATATCGTCTATCCGACAACTACCGTTAGTTTTTTATATCTTCACCGCTGAGGTTGTATTTTGTATATTAAAGTTGATGTCACCTAACTTGTAGTTATTTTCTCAGGTTATGTCGTGAATCGTTGACGAGTGCACTTTTGTGCCACTACTATCCGAGGAGTTCACTGATAATCTGTGGATCATCATAAATTTCGCCTTCATGTTCCAAGCGGCTGCCATTATTGTTTTTACTCTCTTTTTGTCGTTTTTGTAAGATCTTGCAGAGTTCCTGAGTTTTAGAGGTGCCCCCTAGGGCTTTATCCTCCTGTATTTGTGCCTTGATTTTATGCCTCTCCTCAAGATTTTGAAACGTTTCATGTATCTAAAGTAATACACCAAATTCTTTAAATACATAAAATTTCATTTTCAGTTTCTTCTGTTTTAATCGCGTTTCGCGGTCCATGAATAGAGTTGGTATCTTTAGAGCAGATTTTAGGGGCGCGATCGTGTGTCTCACCGAACTAATTGTCTTGTGGAAGATACTAAGTGCTAATTTCAAGTTATTCTTGGTAGAGTATTCATATCGGTGAGAGCTTCTCAAGAGCGCTGGTAGGAATTCCCAGTCGGCATTTCTATAGTCCCTATATTGGTAGTAAACTGGGGAATTTTCATGTCTGTTTACTTATTAGTTGAAGAGGTAGGGTGCAGTACAGTATGTTGTGATCACTGTTATCAAGTTTATCCCCCACCTCTATCGAGATCAGCCCTATTTTGTTTCCGAGTCTTAGGTCGCGGATACTGTTATGTCGTGTTGGGAGGCGTCCGCTTTACTTCCATCCTCCTACACTCATAACTTCCAGGAGCTCCTTGTGAATTCTAGGTCAAGTGTAGGTGTCCCAGTTCACTCCGTGGAAGTTGAAATTGCCACAAACCAGTTTATAGACTGATGTCAGCGTAGGTAAATGCTCCAGTATTTCTCCAATGGCCGTGAAAATCGTTTTAGGACTGTTAGGGGCTCTTCTTATACATCCCACGATAATTATGTTTTCATTTGTTAGGAGGTCTATCCACTTAGATTCCGGGAGTTTGTCGATAGTCGGGTTCGTAAAAGCATTGGAGTCAGTGGATTTAAAACCATATGTTATACACCCGTCTCCTGTCTACTCTATCACTCCTGTGAAGGTCGTAGTTAGCTATAACCAGCTTTGCGTCAGGTGTATAATTGGTCAGGCAGGTTTCAGTTACCAGGATTAGTACTGACTGTTCCATGTAATTCTGTTAAGTAGAGATCAAGCACTTAAGAGCATAGTTGTCAGTAAACCACGATTGTCGGGAGAACAGTTGGTGGATTTTCTTGTTACCAACCCTAACTCCTGGTTGCCTATGTTAAGTCAGGAGGGATTCCGAGCTGAGACAGTTCCAGCATGCCAACTATTCCCAGAACAAATTGTGCAGCGAGAGGGGCTATTGTGTGCTGCAGCCAAAACAAAGCCTAGATGATTTCAAGAAAGTTCTGCGAAATGTCGTCGTAGTGACGCACCTTATGTAGCTTCAGGAAAACAGCAAAAAGCGAGAAGTTGATGAAAGCAAACACAACAACAGAACAGAATGACGCACACCTCAGATGTCATTACGTACCTGATCACGACGATGTTTAAGTAATTCAAATATAGCACAGTACTAGAATATGTTGTGGTGTGCATTTAACTCAGTTTCAACTTTTGGGAGAAAACAGAGAATATTGCGAGTGTTCGTAGGGCATAATGCAATTTATGCCCATTTGTCAACAATACTTTGCACTCCTATCTGTGGATTCCAGTGACTTTTAGTAATCAAAACACCACACAAAAGCGTAGAAGCATGAATTCGATATCAAACATATTCTTGGGTTCCTGCAACAGAAGTGGGTGCTGCAAAACAGTCCATTGGAAAATTTACGAACGAGTACAGTGTGCTACCAAGCTGCAAGGAAATTTCTCAACAGCCAGTCGACGAAATGTAAGCGAAGCGTAACCGGTACACCAAATGATCACTGCATGAACCTTATGTATAAGCTTCCTGCTGTAAAATAATGCATCCGAACGTAGCAACAAACTCAAACGACAATTCCAGTATACATTCACCCAACAAAAGCTGTAAAAGCACCAAAATCACGACAAATGCATCTACCTGGACAACTAGTCCCAACTCAAATCAAACAAGCCGCGTAAGTGCCGACAACGTAAACAAGGTGCAGCCCTCTCGAATAGGGGATATACCATATAATCGTGATTCCGAGTGGAAAATAGACCTTCAACAACACATCTCCACTTCGTTCTACTTTCCACTGTACTCTTCAGATGGGTCCATGATTGACCATAATCTCTCATCTCCTCCCCCCTCCAACTCACACGATCTCCTACATGTCACCTTCGCACAGAAAACCCACTCGCCACCTCCAATTCAACTTCCACTCGAGCGATGGCCTGCATTGAGCGCGATGTCATTCGACACCCTCCTCAACATATGCTCCATCCATCTCCATTTTCTCCTTCATATTTAACCAGCGATAGGATCTCGGTTGCTTTGTTATCAGCCAGAATCTCTTGTTACTCGTTCTTTCTGGCCAGACGGCCACCTGGCCGTTCGACCTTCAGTATGGAGCCAGCCAGTGGAGGTGGTAGCTGTTTATGATAGTCCGCAGTGGCCTGGTCGGAATGCTTCACGTGAGGTATGAGCAGTGTAAGTTTCTGACCCGTACAGAAGAATTGACTCACTGATGTCACATGTTTGTTGAAAAAATCTAAATCCTGTTATCTATGATGGCTGACTCAGTGCAGAATATTATCAAACTGTTCTCCTGCATTTCCGAATCTGGCTGGCCGGCTGGCTGGCTGGATTTCACATCTACATCCGTCCCAACTGCCTGTGGTAGAAACGATGCTTCCTAGTCAGATAAGTGAAAGAAGTAAAATTCTTTTTGGCCATTGATAGTGATTGGCGCTGGTTGCTGTTGTTCGCGGTCGATTGCATTCATCACACCCATCTCCACCTTCTATATGTTTACCTGGAGTCGTGTCTTCGCTGCCTGCAGCCTATGGCAGTTTGTTGCAGATTTCAGTTGCCTATAAGTCTACGAGCGTGTGTGACATTAGATATGAATCATCAATTCACGAAATCATCCACTGCTGCATTGTTACAAACAACCCTATCCAAGAGAAGAGGAACTTTTACACACAACTGGAAATAGTTATCGACAAGAACACAAATATTTTATTTTAATTACAGCATCCACTCTTTAGTAATATTTAAATTAATGATTTGCTAATATTTATCTTAGTTTGTGGGAAATCGGATAACTGGTATTAATGACACACAAGAATAAAAATTATTACATATAGGAAATATTGAAGTCAATCCCTCAAAATGCGTCTACAATAATATATTCCCACTTTATGCACATGAGGGACTCCAGTTGACAGGCATCAACAATATGATAATAATGCACACATGGAGTAAACATGTTTAAAATTTTCACTAACACAAAATATATATACAAGGAAGATAATGATTAATGGCGATAAGTAAGTCTTAATCAGCACTATGAATCTAAGCCAAACTGAGAGCACATACACAAAAAGAGAAATCATCCACGCACGAAATCCAGATCTTCTAGAGGCTTCCGATGGGTCAGTGAGGCGTATTCCTGTCTTCTCACTCACTCACACCCAACACACAGTCCACCACAATTGGGAATATCGTCGTCGGTGATAATAGGCAGCCAGCCAACCCGCTGGTCAGCTTGTCTTAACCCTGTATTCACTTCGAATGACAAGCTGAGTTTTCCGTTGTGGATCACCTGACACGTGGCACTGTCACACAGCCAGCAAGCTGTTGAATGAAGCTGGTAAAGACTTGCACACTGCAAGCCGTAGTGTTGGAGTAGTTTCCGGATAACTTCTCTGTCAACGCTATCTGCAGGAGGCCTCCCCAAAGTCAATTAAGCTGAGGTCGAGTGAGATTTGACTGCCATTCTATGCGTTGTTTGATGATGATGCGTAGACTTGTAATTCGATCAGCACATGAATTGCCTTTCCTCAATCCAGCCAGCTTACTCCGGTTGGGTTGGTGGAGTTCTGCATCCAGTGCGTCCCTTATTCTCTCCAGGATGATGCGACTTATTATTTTACTTGGTGTGGACAAGAGCACTATTCCACGCCAGTCAGTTCTTGCAGAATGAAGTTTAAGTTGGCCTACTGTGGTAGCTTCACAAGGTAGCTAGCCTTTCTCCCAATGGGTAGGTACCTTTCCTTATTTCCCAGCCGTTTGCAGTAATGGCGTGAGCACATGTGCTGTAGTCTCTGGGTCCGTTTCCAGTGCTTCGGGGTGCAGTATCCCGTCTGGCCCTGCCACCTTCCACACTGGACTTCAGTAGCTTATCACATGATACATATAACAATGCTGTAGATATATGCATTTGATGAGGAACTAAATGAAACAGAATATTTTCTTGGCTTTATTTGTTATTTACATTTTCACCATGAGTTTTATTGTAACTATTATTACCACTCCTTTTTTATACCACACAGTACTACTAATAAGCGCATTTATGAACGTTTATCTTAACACACCACACAGTAGAAATTTACTCAACCCTGCGCACCACTACCCTCATGGCCTACAAGGCTATGTAGACGAGTGGCAGAGAATGTACACAGAAGTCCATAAAAGAACATCTACCGTCGCTTAACTGCTGTGGACAGTCCAAAAGAGATCATTTTCCCCTATGCTATTCTGTAGGAGGGATTTTGAATCTGTTGTACATTGAATTCGCAGATATTCGCAGCCCGCGTTTATAGTTTTGTAGCGGTGCTCCAATGTGACCAACTGGTCCATTGTGTATTGTTAGAGTTCCCGTGATTCTTTCCCTCCACATATGGAATTTTCAGAAGAGGTGATTCATTTTTAGAAAATTCCCAATTTCATGTTGTAGGACCCTGACCTACTTAATGAAGAGACATTTGACTGTGCAGAGATAGGTATGTTAATACTCACTCTTCTATTGGTTTTAGGTGACTGGGAGGGTGAACATGAATTATTTGTCCAGAATCTCAACGAAGACCCTCAGAGGTCGCCAACTGCAGATGAGCTGCCGAAATTTTGGAAAGATTCTGATGATCTGTCGTTTTTATGGCAGTCAGATAGCTTGAGTTGTGGCACAGCTCCAGGCGACGATGGTGGTGAAGGGGTAGGTCTTCTGCCATTGCCTAAAATACACTTTAGGCTGTTGACGTTGAAGAAACTCTGAAGAAGCTGGTGTTGGACGAAGCTTTTGAAGATCCGGCAATTCTTGATATATCCAGAAAAGTTTCGTATCAAAAATTCAATGAAAAGTCATTTCAGAATCTAAGAAACGCTCCTGCCTACCCAACTGCCTCAACGAATATTTTTGATGGTTCTCGAGATATCTGGAGCATCGATAGCTGTAACGACACAGGCCTCACACCAGAAAGCAGCTCCTTATCGGATCCCAGCTCTAAAAGTATCGCTAGCATTATTCAGTCACTAGCTGCGTGTGCTCCGTCGAATTCTTCTGAAGCTTTTGCACAAAATAACTTAATGCACATGTCAAATACAGAATCTCAAGTTTTGGGTCCTGCCGCGACCGAAGGAACCAAGCTTTCTCACTCTCAGTCTAACTTTCTAACTGCGAATTTTCCTGGTAGCCAGCATAGCTCTAAGTCTCCCACCATTACTGGTAGTCAGACATATCAACCACAAGTGAATCAAAATCGACCAGCTTACGTGAGTTACCGTTATTTCTAGTATACAAAATAATCCATTTTGACTCTCTTTCTATGAGTAATTGCATTTAAAACGATTTACTCTGATAATACTTGACTTCTGGATCTTTTTCCTGGTCGTCCAGTGTTTGTTTCCATCTGTTTCCTAGGACATTATAAATGACAGTATTAAGCGAAAAAGGGCTGGCTAGGGCGAATAATTAAATAATACAATAGCCAAATTCTCGAATAGACTATCTCTCAAGAAATGCTTTAATGTCAAAATATACTGCATATTAGGTAGGTGTTTATTCTGAACAGATTTGTTTTAAAATCAGAATTTTCCCCGTGAATTATTATTATTGGGAATTTCACATTAAGTTGTATACATCTTCCTCTTATTTGCTTAAGGGAACTCGTCAAATCTCACATTCTTGCATGTAGTTACTGAATTATATCTACACTGAATAGTTCTGTGCTTAAGTTCGTGTATTTGAATGCAGTGCTCAGGAGTTCCGTTGCATTTATAATACAGCCTGATGTGAAGTTTTAGCTCCTGAATACATTTCGTTCTTAAGTTATCGAACCTGTAACTCCTGTCATTGTAAAAGGTTTAAGTTTGTCGGTAAACAAGATCATACGTGTTCTGTTACCATTTTGAGAGTAATAGAGTCAAGAATAGTTACGGTTTATTCGATGTAATCAAATGTGTCCGTACATGACTGATCCCTGTTTTTTTTGAGACCAATTACCTGCTCCATATATTCTTGTGGTATATTCCCAAATCAAGGTGGAATTGATCTTTGCTCTCACGTTCCATTGTGAAACGGATGTTTTGATGCACAGGGTTAAAACTTTAGAACAATTAGCCGGCTTAGTCGGTGTCCTTGCAAAAGATGGACGTGTCACACACGTACCTTGCATAAAGACCAGTCTTTCAATTGCTCTAATGAAAATGATAGATTAAATATGTAAATTTTTTCTTCTGTATTATTATAAGGATTATGAGTTGACCTTATTGTGGTTATGTGCATTTTGCGAATCCTAACAGTGCTAGTATCAACATTACATTTGTTTTAAGTAGTTCGTATTCTCCACTACCTATCTGAACTCAATTCATTTTTTTCAGCGAACTGAAATGGCTACAAATTCTGCATCTCCGGAAGTTTTGAAGGGACAATCACCTCATGATCCCAGTGTGCTCCTAACGCTGCTAACACTTCGGTCTCTTTTTGCTATCATGCCCACTTCACAATTGAGTCATTCTCAAATACAAAGGTAAATAGATTTTGACTTTCAGTGTAATACTCTACCACAGTGCCCAAGTTTTATACTTATTTCAGTGTAATATGTCAGTATACTCACATGGCTATTGAATTTACCAAAATAGTGACCATTTAGATGGTGTCAGTTACCATTAAATAAGTATCATTCACATTCGCTGTACATACTTGCTAACAGTAGCTGCACATTGGAAGTTTTAGACATTGGTTTCCTCGTTACTTATCTTAATCGGGATCAATGTAGTATTTGTTAAACTGATTTATGTCCTCGAATTTGTCCCCGGATTGTGAACTCCTGACTGCTCAACATAGCACAGCATTTCATGGCTATGACTTGACTTCATTTAAATGACGTTAATGTAGGTAATCGGCTAAACAGCGAAGGTCACCATAAAACAAGTTGCTCGTGCGTAAAGGTGTATGCTATTATTTTATAATGCACAACATACAAACCAGTCAGTTTTGGGTGCCTGTCTTAGTTGTGTTGTGATGCCTCTTAGAAATAATTTGAGGATGTTAATGTAGGATGTGTCCAGAAGGTTAATTTCACACTTCGTATTCGCTTCTATAGGATCTTATGGGATGATTCCAGATGTTTTTAAAGACGGTGTCAGATTAGTTTCTGGGCTATTTAAGGTATTTAGCAACGTCTAAGAATCAGAAGTGGTCAGGTTGAACTGGTATAGGTCATTGATTATACCAGTATACAAGAAGGGAGGCAAGTCTTCCTGTGACAGTTATAGGGGGATTAACTTGACTGGTATAGTGCCTAGAGTTCTAGTCTCAATAATCGTGCATAGACCGTGTGGTGCTCGGTAGAGACAAACATGAAAAACCAAGCAGGCTTTAGATCAGGTAGGGATGTATTGATCATCCCTCCACCCTTCTACAGGTCCCGGAACATAGACATTTACTTGCGTCCAACGACTACCATATTTCTTGACGTGAAGAAGGAATTCGACTGTTGACCGAGACGTACAATGGCAATGTTTGTTAGTGAAGGGAGGACCGAGAAAGTATATCGCACTAATCAAGGAACTCTACTCGAACTCAAGCAGCGGTGCAAGAAGTTGTGGGGTGTGTTGACTACTTCACTTATTTGCCACTTAAAGTAGGAGTTGTGGAAAGGTTAACTGTCTTCGGTCATAGATGCATGTGTTCTGTCTCCCACGTCAGTTGGTATAATAAGGTGAGTAATATTGAAGTTAAGCGTCGAGCTTTAAGTAAGGAGGGGAAGTCCATCGCTAGGGTTGTGAAAATACATCGCTTGAGGTATGCGTAACACGTCCTGGCCATCGCCTTCCTCAACAGACAATGTTAGCTTACATAGGATCAGCTTGAAAAAAAGCTAGTGGTTGTCAAATCAAACCTTGGAATAATTCCATGAAATATTTAGTTGTCAGTTTGAGCCACGTAGGGAGTAGTAGAATGCCTGGTTGGGATCCTCGGGATTCTAAGTAATTGGTAATATTGTTCAAAATCGTTCTCAGTGGCCCAGATGCATTCACTCTCTGTGGTCTGCCATATCCATTAGATCCCTATTGTTTTTCTGTTACTATTCTTTCTCCCTCACATTTCTGCTTTATTATCGTCGTTTTGAAACTCTCTTCTCTTTTTTCTTCCTTTGTGTGCTACACGGAGTGTGGCAGCCGGTAACTGCTACACTTTTGTGCTATGCTGAAACCAGCTAGTCAGTTAGTCAGTCAGTCAGTCTGGTATTTGCTTTACCCGTGACAGTAAACTGCACATATTTAGTTAGATTTTTGACTGAGCTTTCACCGTATAATTTCGTACAAAAGTACAGCAGTTTAAGTAGCCAAGTCCCATGCAGCACTAAAAGGGATAAAAACATTCGCAGGAGCTATAATGAACGAAAATGTATGGGAAAAAAATAAGTCTATGGAGAGTAGTAGGAATTTGATGAATAGTTGAGTTTCAGTTGTACTGTTACAATTATTTGTTTAAGCAAATCCCTTACGCTTTGTGTGAATAATATTTAGGTATTTCTCTCTATTCTAGTTTGTACAATATAGTATTGACGAGTCATCAACGTTTTCTTCAAAACCCACGTCCAACGTTTATGGTCCCTTCTAATCAACGCAATCCTTTATTCATATCCCCTGAAGTCTCTGGACCGCTGGGTTCAAACATGCAATCAAATATTTCGTCGTACCTTCGCTTTCCAGTGCATTCTGTAAATGTTGATTCTAAGCAACCTGTCTGTCAACCGTCACCCATTGCATCTTCAAAACAGCCAACAGTACCAGTTGGTGTTATTGGTGAAACTACCTCGGTGAAAGATGTGGACCCCAACCGAGGTAGCTGGATGACAGATTATGAGTCAATCGGTGTACTACTAATTCAACTGCGTCCATTAATGGTGTCTAATCCTTATGTTCAAGTTAGTTTATTCAGACTTTTTTATCATCATGTAATCTGCTTTATTTATTGTGCAGTAACTTTCTTAACAGATCTTGAGAATTTTCTGTTCAGATGTAGCCATTGGTTTCAGAATCTTTGTCTTTTAAGTAGCCTGAAAATTTCGGGTCCAGATAAAGGTATTTAGGATATAATTCATACCAAAATTTTATCTATGTTACTTGTGGCACTTCATCTTATCTCGGCTAATGAGTAAAACTTCCCACCAAAGCATCGGGTTCCATATCTTAGCCACTGGTTGACTGACTGACTAACTGACTGATTGAGTTTCAACACAGAACTTAAAATAGAAGTGCAGCGCTTCAACTTGCCACACCCTGTGTAGTACATAAAGGCAGAGAAAAGAACAAAAAAGAAATTTAAAAGAAGTTTAATGAGCAAAAAGGTATGAGAGAAATAATAGTAGTATGCGTAAGCATGAGGATTTAATGGATCTGGGAGGTTACAAAGAGAACAGTTTTTGGGCATATTACCAATAGTCTCAATCCATCGGCTTTTAGAACCCAGTTAATCCGTCAGACAGTTCTCACTTCTACATGTCTCAAACCATCTGTCATAGACTTCCTGAACTGATTCCAAGTTTCGGCTTGACCACTGCTAACTCTTCTTCAACCTAATTTTATGTCAGCTAAAATTGCTTGACGAATAGGGCGACGACTTAGCCATCTCAATCGACGTAGCTTCACAACCTCATCTACTAACTCAGCCTCCTTACTCAAAACCTCAACATTTCTGACCATATCATACCACTTAACACGCGGAATAAAACACCTATGGTCAAAGACTGCTAGTCTTTTCATAAGTTCCACTTCAATGGCCGTCTCACTGCTATAAAGAGGGATAAAGCGAACTGCCGCTCAGCAAACACGCGCCTTGATCGATATCCAGATTTCTCGTCTACATCAAAGATGGCGTGAGTTGGTAAATGCCATACAAGCCTTTCCTATCTGTACTGAGATTTCGTCGGCAATCAGTGTGATGCAGCTGATGCAACTTCGCAAATAAGTAAAGTAGTCACCACATTCCACAACTTTACTCCCTATCATTAAGTTTGGGTTTAATGCAGCGTCTTCACCTAGAAAGACAATTTCATCGGTATATTTTAAGTCCATGAAACTTTTCCCTAAGTTGGTTAAGTCAGTTAGGCTTCATTCCATTAGTGCATCTTTGACGAAATTAAACAAAAATGGGGACAGCAGGTATCTCTGACGGATGCCACTGGATTCAATTCAGTTAACAAATCTCCATAAACTGTTACACGGCTGCTTGAGTTCGAGTAGAGTTCCTTGATTAGTGCGATATACTTTCCCAGTCCTCCCTTCACTAACAAACATTGTCATAGTACGTCCCGGTCAACAGAGTCAAATTCCTTCTTCAAGTCAAGAAATATGGTAGTCGTTGGACGCAAGTAAATGTCTATGTTCCGGGACCTGTAGAAGGGTGGAGGGATGATCAATACATCCCCCTACCTGCCAATTAAGACTTACTTATCGCCATTTGTGTTCTTGTCGATAACTATTTCCAGTTGTGTGTAAAAGTTCCTCTTCTCTTGGATAGGGTTTTTTGTAACAATGCGGCAGTGGATAATTGTAACTTCCTTAACTTTTGAATTGATGAATTCGCTGTCATGGTCATGAGTGAGATTGGTTTACACTTCGTGAAAGCCTTCGATGCTGTTATTGAAATCATTATAGCCACTTCCTCAGTGTTTCAACGTTTGTCTACTGAATTACCGATTGTGTCCTCTGCAATCAACAATGTGTAGTGCCCATTTCCTCTCCAAGACCCTTAGCACTTCTGTACTATGTTTTCTCATTTCTTCTGCAATCCGAGCAGCCATCTTATCTTCGAACATCGTAGGGTCGTTCTATGTCCCCACGCCTATTTTTGCCTCGTCGAAGGAAGATATCAGCTGACTGGCATTTTGAAGGCTTTCATCTTTTTGTTATTTTCTCTACCTGATTCCGACGAAGAATGAGATTATTCCACCTATTTTGTATGTGCGGTGAGGTTTCTGTAGCGATTGGGTGGATTTTCCGGTGTACGGTCGCAAGCTCCTCACCCGACCTTCCCTCCTTCTCAGGGCTGAGGACTGCCTGTTAAACTAGGTGAGGTTGCAGAGTGGCTTACAGTCTGATGTAAATCTGTGAAGATTGCTTTCAATACTTTCAGGTTACTCTTTCGATATAAGCGACACCAATAACTGTGTCGTCATCAATAATTTGTGATCAAAGCTCTATGTATTATATCATCTTAGATCACCGAGTTTCGTTATGTTTGAACCCTATGCATTAATCCATGTTGCGTTAACATACGCTGACTTAGTGAAAAATTTGTATTCCGCATAACGACATAACTTTTATTTCCTCTGAACAGTCACATAACTGGGAACTTATGAATGGTTGAGACAGTGTAGGGGTTGTATATCAAAACTACCAAAAGTACGTTCCCACATGATCTCACATGTCGAATGGAATCCATTATATTTGGCCTTTAATCGTTTGCATTTGGTGGCATATTTAGTGCAGTGTGTAGACGAAATTCTAATTCCAATATAAAAGTAGGCGATCTTCAAAAATAAGTTAGTTTCGTATCTGTCAACAGTAGAGAGATCTTGAAAACTGTTTACCTTAGAACACAGTATGAATCTCTGACAAAATGTGCCACTTAGTAGCGTGAGCAACAAGATATCAACCATATAGAACTACGGTTTGTAATAGAGGCTTTATCAAGTAGTCGTCATGTATTATTTTTTCCGAGTTTGATCACGGATATATGTCAATTACAGGACCGTTGGGAGGCTGGGGAGTACTGAACAGCTGTCTCATCCTTGCTCAGGAATCTTAAACCGGATCAGAACCCAAAACCTTCCGGCCTCACGGAAAGCCTCCAAACCCTTCAGCCACTGGACCCGATCTAATGGCGCATGAATTCCAACTTCCACCAATTTGTCATTCTAGCGCCACCACCAGCTTGTATCGTCGGAGTGTTTGTCCCCACGCCCGACCTGGTGGACCCCACTGGTCGCGACTTCTCACTAGAGCTCCAGTCAACTTCATCTTGTCGACCAGTCACTGGCGAGCATCAGATTAGTTTTCGAAAGTTAGTTTGTAGGGGTTCGGTTTGTTTTAAGTTCGATCGATGTTACTTAGAGAACCACTGAAATCGACGTAGTACTGTACAGCTGTTTTGTCCTAGACTGTTATTATTATTTTATTTTTAAAGGTTTCCAAGTTCGTTTGTAGTCGGAGAATCTTTCTCAAATATATTCTCTTTTCTGTTTAACTTAAGAGTAATTATTTATTGTGCTCTTCAGGATTACTATTTCGCTTGTCGTTGGCTACGAAACATGAATGCAATTCGAGCCAAACAAATCGCTAACGGTCAGTTAGCTGCTACTTCTCCTCCAGCATCAATGCAGATTCCTATTCCCATACCTCTAGAAAGTCTTAATGATTCTCAGTCGCCTTATCAAATAGCCTTGAAAAACAAATTGGTTATCCCTTTTTCTTCTGTGAATATTAATCAATCTCCCGACCAGACTGTGGAAGAAAACAATAACAGCACAGAGAAATCTCATGAAAACAATGAACCTCCTAATCCGGATTCCAGTAATGCATTAGGACGTCCAACAAGATCAAATGTGCATCGACCACGTGTAGTAGCAGAGTTGTCACTAGTCTCCGCTCTCACAAATGGTCCTGAACAAGCAACAGAAAAATCTTCAAATGATAAACTACTTGTAAGCTAAAACCGTAGTTTTATATACGTATCATTTGTTATAGGATAAAACTGTGAAACTTCTCTCATCTCTTGCAGTTGTAGAATTTTTTTGAACATAGTGAGCTAAAGCGAATTTTTGGCGTTAAAGCATTGCACAAAAATGCACCAATTCAAGTTGTGCTTAATACAGTGTAACAAGAATATCTGTCTGAAAACAAGGTAACCGAGCGCCTATCGCTCAACAAATATGTAGGAGAAAATGGAGATGGATGGAGCATATGTTGAGGAGGGTGTCGAATGACATCGCGCTCAATGCAGGCCATCGCTCGAGTGGAAGTTGAATTGGAGGTGGCGAGTGGGTTTTCTGTGCGAAGGTGACATGTAGGAGATCGTGTGAGTTGGAGGGGGGAGGAGATGAGAGATTATGGTCAATCATGGACCCATCTGAAGAGTACAGTGGAAAGTAGAACGAAGTGGAGATGTGTTGTTGAAGGTCTATTTTCCACTCGGAATCACGATTATATGGTATATCCCCTATTCGAGAGGGCTGCACCTTGTCTACGTTGTCGGCGCTTGCGCGGTTTGTTTGATTTGAGTTGGGACTAGTTGTCCAGGTAGATGCATTTGTCGTGATTTTGGTGCTTTTTCAGCTTTTGTTGGGTGAATGTATACTGGAATTGTCGTTTGAGTTTGTTGCTACGTTCGGATGCATTATTTTACAGCAGGAAGCTTATATAAAAGGTTCATGCAGTGATCATTTGGTGTACCGGTTACGCTTCGCTTACATTTCGTCGACTGGCTGTTGAGAAATTTCCTTGCAGCTTGGTAGCACACTGTACTCGTTCGTAAATTTTCCAATGGACTGTTTTGCAGCACCCACTTCTGTTGCAGGAACCCAAGAATATGTTTGATATCGAATTCATGCTTCTACGCTTTTGTGTGGTGTTTTGATTACTAAAAGTCACTGGAATCCACAGATAGGAGTGCAAAGTATTGTTGACAAATGGGCATGAATTGCATTATGCCCTACGAACACTCGCAATATTCTCTGTTTTCTCCCAAAAGTTGAAACTGAGTTAAATGCACACCACAACATATTCTAGTACTGTGCTATATTTGAATTACTTAAACATCGTCGTGATCAGGTACGTAATGACATCTGAGGTGTCAGTAATTGTGTTCATTAACGTCCCTTTAGTACATTACCCAGTGTTGTGTGAGTTTCCGAGATATGTTTGTAATAAATGGCTTTTCAGATAATCTCCGTCTCCTAATAACACTATCCAAATAAATGGTTGTCTTGGATTTTATCACACAATTGAAAAAAATGTTCAGTATGCGAGTTCTGAATAACTGTGTGATTGGTATTCATTTGTTTATGGCATTGTTTCACCGAATTCTTTCTTTTCGAAATGCCATTGTTATAACTTTTAGACTGCTTGTGAGTTTTTACCTCAAGTCAAATTCTCATAATTTGCTAATCAAATTCGCAATTACACTTCTGAGGATGCTTTTTTTTAAAAAATTTCATCTATTTCAGTGCCGATATTTCCGTATTTCTGTTACTTTCGAATTTTCTTTAGTTTTTCCCCTTTCTATGTTACTTGTTTTGATTGCTTGACTAAAAACTGCGTTTATAGTTCCCGTGTTTTTCTTTTTGTCGTTACTTTTTATATGGTTCCTTAATTGTTACATTGTTGTTGGGTTACTTTTCTTACGTCTATTTTGTGTTTTTGTTCAGTTCTTTGTTATTATCCAAAGTGTTTGCTATCGGTTAGTCAATATCTGTCTGCGTGTCTGTCTCTCTCACCCTCTGTAGAATGACTCCGGATCGGACTTGAATCAATCCACAGCGTCATCGTCTTCTGTTGTATCTAGTCGTCGACGGCGTCTTCTCTTGGCTCAAATCGAACGCGTACGTTTACTATTATTATTATTATTGATATTGCTGTTATCATTTGTGAAGTGTTTGTATGAATGTATTGTTCTTTTGCGAATCATCCTGTATTCTGAAGTAGCTACATTCACTGCATTCTTTCCATGCTCGCTGGCATTAGTAATTATTGTTTGTGTTTTTGTGTATTATTATTACTCTAATTGAATGATTCAATTGTGAATCATTTCGTATTGGTCAAATGTTGATTGACAACATCTAACACCGGGCAACACCAGCCAATAAGTATGTCAAGCATCATGTATCACATTGCCTATCAACCTCGTGTATTCAGCCCTTGAATACAATACAATGCAATACTGGATCTTTGTAGTTAACACAATAACTACTATGTCAAAATTCCTTGATCAGTAGTCGTCTTTCGCATCCAGCTTCACTGAATTACTTAACATTCAGTTGGCGGTAACCATTTGGTTTGAGTAGCATTGATTTGTTTAATTTCATAATATCTGTCTTCCCAGGGATAACACCTGGGAAGAATTTCCAATAGAGATTTGTTTCTCCATTCCAGTTTATATCTTGTTAACTAATGACAGTGCTTTTTTCTCTTTTTGTGATTTAAATTTAATTTAGATGTTTTCATTACTGTTAATTCTGGATGAAGTGGCTCTGTCTCTTGAAAGAGTCGTTGTACAAAATGACACGTGAGATTTTCATAAATTATTTAGTCTTTTTTATTATCACCGTTACTACCAATATTTCCTTTTTGTTTTTACTGATTTCTTTGCGTTCCGACGGGGGCGTACAACTTCAGCTTTCAGTCTTTGAAGATACTAGTAGTGAAGGTGTTGATTTTACGGGATTAAGGTTGCTCGCCTCACGCACACACACACACACACACGCAAGTACACCACGCCCAACCTTCCATCTTTATCGGGCTTACCGGCTGCGAGTGTGAAGTGTAGGAGTGCATCTTTCCGGGGAACGATCGAGCCTGACCCACCTGCTTGGTGGTTGACGAACAAACCGGAGTGCTTTAGCATTGTGCCCACTTATTGTGTTCCTATGTGACAATTTATTTATATATAATACTTTCCGGCGTTATTTTTAAATCCATATTGTTAATTACGCATATTTCTGTTAGGCGTGCTCGTTTACTGGACTATCGACGAGAATTAGTTGATCAGTTGGTCAGTGAATTGTTCAAATCACCTGGCAAAACAAGTAAAGAAATCTGTGAAACACTACCTAAAAATAAATTATTGCATCTAACAGAAAGTTTGTTCACTATTCATAAAGGAATGCGTTTATGGTCATTGACACTACAATATCTGCCTAATGTAAGTCTGTCTCTTTTTTCTTATTTATTTTTCATAGATAGATACCTTTTATATTTTATTAATTTATATTTTACTTAGTGAAGTATGTTTGCTGTGGTACTGTTATAATAGTGTATAATACTTTTTTTTCAACTCGCTTATTGTTATCATACGTTCCTTGCGTTCTGAATGAACCCCCTCTATGAATTCACTTGAAGTTATGTCGTCGACTCGAACTTCTACCAGCTTGTTGGTTTTCGTTTGTATCTCTTCGAGTTTGTGAAACATGTCAGTGAGGGTATCTTTGATGAACACCTGGGTGGTCGGTCATACATTTCAGGTGAAAATAGGTAGGTTTTTAAATGGATTTTGTAAAGATTTTCCCGTCGACTGATTAGACCGAAGTGATCGGTGGGAACATCATCACTCACTGAGGAATGCAGGTACATTCAGATGACAAGTCCCAGATAGGACGAAATACGCGTTATCCTGGATTCCACTGCTAGTCACCGTCCACCAGTTAACCTCTAATAGGTAGGTTTGTCTGTACAAACTCGTACACGGTTGTAGTTGCTCGACTATAGAATACCTTGACCAGAATGATGTTACTTTCTCAGCAATCTATTAACAAACATGGATTAATGTTGTTGGAGTCAAAAGCTCACTCAATGAAAGGTAGCAAGTGTTTGAATTCTGCAAGCCTATTTGTTTTTCATTATCTGTTGACGGGTAATGATTCAATCACCGCATCTCCTTTGATTTCTGAATCCTGCCTGATTTTGAAAGCAAGAATCTTTGTGTTATGAACTCGTCGCCAATAATGTATGGGGTCGTTGCCGATATTATGGTGTGACCGAGTATAAGTGTGCGCTAATGAGATATAACGGACGATAATGTACAGACTGGTATTGCTGAGTGGTTGATTTGTCCTGACGCGAAGAGGAAAATCAGAAGACCACCACGTTCACGAAGATGCGTGTATTTTCCAACAAGGGAAAATTAACTGTCACACAAGAGTGTGAGTCGAAAGGTACTAAGGAGTTTGAAAGAGTGTGAAAGTGTGAATTAACTGTACAATTCAAGAATATATAGGAAATAACTAACACACATGAACCAATAAGACAAATAGTAGTTTTTCTTATCACCATTGGATTCTGATTGGTTGTAATGTCATGTGACAAAAGGTCATACATTGTTTATTCAGTTAATGGACTGACAAAATATATTGTGAGTTATAATGGAATAACGATCAATATACATATAGCAAATATATCAGACTGTCAAAGCAAAGCAGACATCATGTGACTACATATCACTTTGATACTGTCTATCTATGTTAGTCAAGGTAATAGATCTGGATCACGCTGTATGATTTATATCGGTTGTTGTACATACTGTAATGTTTATTCAGTGACCTACAATCAACCTTATCATCTTTATTATTGTATTTGTTCCTCTACGTTCCCAGTGGAACATAGAGCTTCAAAGTACAGGCTTGAAGTTTCGGTAGCAGTGGTACATACTTTTACAAGAAGAGGTTGCTGGCCTCATGCTCAACGTTCCCTCTTTACCAGTCTTACTACTGGCTTAGCGAGGTAAAGGAGCGCGTCGTCCGGGGATCGAACTCCGGACAACATGCGTGGTTGGCGACCATTCTACCGCTGTGCCACCGACGCACCATCATCTTTATAAGTACCTCCAAAGTCATTCAATCATGTACAGTGCATTAAAGACAACTTAGGCAAACTCGACTAGGTGTTGGAATACTGTTCGATGTGTTCATTTCGCGTTCATGATGGAGTAAGACGGTGGGCGACTGTAATATGACTGACTGTAGGACCACTGGACCTCTGCTTCTCAAAGTGTTTTTTGCCAAACGTTTCATGAGCAAACTCGAATGTGTAACGTATATTGGTTATGGATCATTGTTGTTGGTACGCCAAGAATGCAATTTTAGTCTATTCATATTTATTTTCTACTTGCCATTACTACTATTTATTCATTTATTTATTATTAAACAAAGTGTATGCAGTTGACCTACTCATTATATGTGATTTCTTCACCTGATTTGTCTTGTCTAGAATGTTAAAGAGGATTTTCTGGCGGAATTTATCAATGATTTTATACGCCTTGTTGAATTGTGGCCAACAACATTAGATGAAGTAAGCTATGATTAAAGTCTTTGCATGATAATTTAGTTGTTCTTTTCATTCTCTAAACTTTTATCCCTTGTCTTCCTTGTCTCAGTATTGAGTCTTAATGTTCGTATCATTGTGTGTGTGTGTGTGCGTGTGTGTGTTTGTGTACTGATATGGTCCTTTCTGGGCTTGTTTGGTGTGTATATTATCATTCCTGTTGTTCATTTCATATGGTAAATAATATACGTGGAACAGTTCCTACCTTCCTCTGTAGTTGGTGGTGATAAATGCAAACTGCATGCGCGCTGAAATATGTTGATGTTGATATAAAGAATTGAAATTTTAAGGGAATGGGAACTGTAATACAAATATATAATTGAGCTTCCACAGTTTGAAGTTGTTTCTTTTTCCACAACTAATGCGTTGTCGATTTCATTCATTTTATTAGCTGAACAGTTTTTTTTAGGTGTCCAGTTGAATTGATTTTGTTGACTACTTTTATTGGAAGCGTTAATTTTGTTCTAAAAAAAGGTGAACACTACAATGTCACTAGATGATGATGATGGTGAAAAGAGGTATGACAGCTGGAGAGGTGGTAATATCCACCCTCCCACTCCACTCTCTTGGAAATTTAACACTACCCAATTCATATTACTCATTTATGTGACTGTGAGCCGCACTTATTGTGTGTGTGTTTATGTGTTTATGAAGGCTGATGATACTAACCAACTGCTCAGAGTGTAGTAGTAGGCACAGTGGGAATCGAAACCAGGGCCGGTTGACTGTAGATTGAGTACTTAAACACCAATGAAGTCACATCTCTATATCCAAATTACCAGTTATATGCAAATTGCACCAGGGCTAATAATTATGTTACTTAGCTGTCATTAGTTCGTTGAGTGCGCTTGCTTTGTGGGAGTTACTGTGTGGTTAACTGTTTTAGCGTGTTGCTACTACAACAAGAACAACTACTACTACCACTCATGGAGTTTACCGAAATAAAGCGTAAAACTATTCTCTCCGAGTACTGAATTTATCAGTAATGAAAAGTAGCATCACTGGGTGTCACGGGTCATTGAACTCCAACCCAGTAGATGATCAATAAGCTGACCTCGTAGCCTGTAGGTCGTGGATGGGGTGGGGTCATGGGTTCACACTATTGAAGAGTTCCAAACTAGAATGAAACAGTTATCCAGTGTTCCCCCTTTTTTAATGGTCCTCTAACCGTATCAGCCTGATTCAACTAGGCTGTAAAGACAGTAAATTAAATGAAATGGAGTGCTAGTAACTCGTGACTTGTTGTCTGAATGGATATCGATTTCATGCAACTTTCAAAATCCAATTACCCATGCGTTTGAATCGATCACAGGTTTTAAGCCTACTCCGTCTCTGTGTTGGTGGTTGTTTTGACAACTTGTGATCATTATTACAGACGTCATAGACCAGCTGTAACTCATTGTCTAGTGCACAGATGTGTTTTCACTTTTTACTCTAGGAGATTTTATGTTTAATATAATTTTTAAAAAATGATTTTTAGGCTGCTGCAATTTTTTATCCATCGTTACGTGAGGTTATATATCAAATGAGGAATATCAACGACTTTTTACAATTATGCTTTCCTGATGCATTAACAAGCATTAACGCTGTTGCAGATAACTCAGAATTAACAATTCCCATATCTGATAACCTGAAAAGCCTTTTGGCGTGTAAAGTAAGCGTCTATGATCCATTGATGTCTACATCCTTCTTTTATTTTGTAAATATTCACATTTTTACTTTTCATTGGTTGTTGGGTTTTGTATTACAAAATAATTTACTTATTTATATGAGCTTTAACTGATCGACTAACCAGATTTAGAAATAATTCAGTAATAACAGTTTTGTATTTCACTTTTTAGTCAAGGAAAAACTGCTTATTGACCTTCTCAATAATGATACTATCTTAAAGTAATTTGATGGATAGTGACTGGCAGTGGAATGCACTATGACTGACTGGTTTCAACGTGGAACTTTGCACAGATGTGCAGCAGTTCGAGTTGCCACACTCCATGTAACACACAAAGCAAGAGAAGAGAGTAGAGAGAGATAATAAACAGAAATATGAGGCAAAAAGAATAGTAATATGGAAGAACAATAGAATTTTATTGGATGTGATAAATCACAAGGAGTGGATGCATCTGCACCAGCCACTGAGAACGATTTTGAGCCATATCACCATTTGTCTCCAGTCATTGGTGTTTACCATCCCGAGGACCCCAACCAGTCAGGAAGTCTACACCTCCCTTGCCCAGTTAATGGCTAGGGATGCATGCGTAACACACATCCTAACCATCCATCTCAATCGGTGTAATTTCACAACTTTGTCGATCGATTTTCCCTCCTTACGTAACACTCGACGCCTAACCTCAATATTGCTCACCCTACTATGCCACTTCACACGGGAGATAGGACTCAGACATCTTTGATCAAAGATAGCTAATCTTTTCACGTCATCCAGGCAAAAATGAAGACAGAGCGAATTACTAAGCATCCCTCTGGTCGACAGCCAACCAGTCGGATATCACGTCTGCTAAGCCAGAGATGGCGTTAGTTGGCATATGCCAAACTAGCCTTCTTTATCCGTGATGAGATTTTGTCAGCAATCAACCTGCTGGGGCTGTTTCAGGATGTCTTTTCACCCTGTATAGGACTCGTCATCTGGACATGCTTGCATCCTCTAGTGAGAGTGAGTGAGTGAGTGAGTGATGGTGTTCCCACTGAGTCTCAAACTCAGTACTCGTCATTTCAAACACCGAGGAGTTATCCAGCAGACCACTTGTGCCGCGGAAGCCGCCTCTTGTACACTGGGTGTTAAGTATTATTTGTTTTTAATTCAGTTTTGATTCCACCCTTGATTGATTGGACCACAACACTAGGAGCTAACATGTCAACAGTGGCCGAACATTTCGGTTCAGTCAGTCAAGGGGAAAATCAAAATTTTAATTAAAGATGATACTATCCATTCACTCTATGTACTAATTTATTATTAGAGATAGTGTTCAGACTGTTTTACGAATGATTTTCCTGTGGTTGTATTTTGGGAGTTATCTGTTATGAATCGTCTGTCTATACCGTAAATCTGTCATTTCTATGCGGAATATAATGGGAGGTATGTGATGATCAGGAAGGCCTTGTATGCTTTTTGAAATGCTTAGACAGTTATTTCTTCCCAGCTGCCCACACTGTGGAAATTGATTTCTTTTTGGAGTACCTCAAACAGAAGGAGTATTAGTAGAATTGCATGATCTCAGAGAGATCAGATCTCTGGGAGACAATTGTTTATGAGCGGTCACATGTCCTATTCGAAGTGGTTTTCTAAGTTGTTTCTATATTAAGGTTTTTTTTACCACCACTGCATGGTAAGGCAGGATGTACAATTTTCGGAGTCGACCATTTCTGATTCTCTCTCTCTCTCTCTCCAGAGTGGATAGTCAGCGTGACTGGTTTGCTGTTCACATCCCTATTCACTAACAGTAAGACTTCGCCTACAGATACCCAAATATTGTGTGAACTATTTTACATTATATTGGTTTGCGTTTTTAATCTCACAGCTATCCAAATGATCTTTCTGGTATGGTATTATCTGCAGGAACATGATTTCCAGCCATTAATTTTTTTCCTGCTTGTTGGGGGATTGCGATATGCAAGCCGGACCACCACGTCACGCTGGCAGCTATCTATCAGGACATCGAATGTAGTTATTTCTTCATCGAGTAAGAAAACTTAGCTACTAAATCTGAAAGTCTTAAAAGTTGGCGTTTATACCTTTAAAACAATTAGTTCTCTTTATGAATTTAGACAAAGCAATAAGAAGACGTAATTTGTCTGAATCGTATAATGTATTTGCGCAACACATTTCTAACAATCTGATCACACACGAACTTGTCATAGGAATATATCTGAAATTAATAAAGAGGTGAGAAAGTAGACAAGGTAGGTCAAGTTAAAAGGACATATTCAAGGTCAAAATAACAATGAAGATCACTAAACCAAATAACGGAGGTAATAGTACATCTGCTATGGTATCAAAACAAAATTTACCAAGGAAGGTTCTATGTGATGACGAATTGTTTTTGAACGCATAAAGGTGGTTTAAACTTCCTAACTGCCGGCTAGTGCTTCCACAAACCTTGGAATACGCCCCAAACACGTTTTACAGATAGGTTCAAAAGATGTGTTAACGTACATTTTATGTCCTGTCTCTATAAAATGTTTCACAATAGAGGAGCTAGGTGTCATGTTCTCACCATTAATGGATTCTGAAGATTCTAATTGTTTCTGGAGTCATTTAGGAATATGCTCTGAAGCCAGCCCTTACTTGCAGAGATCGATGAGTCCTCCCTATGTGTGTCCACACGTACATTCAAATTGGTAAATACAGTGGGATGTGACATCATTTTTCGCGTGTTCAAAGGGCTTAGATGGATATATTGGCTTCATATTCTCAATTATTTTGATATTAGCTGCATAAAAAGTCTTTTTAACAGCAGCGTTCAGTCTTTGTCTATTTATGAAGCTGCTATGATGCCCCATATAGGGTAGCTTGATGTACACGTCTTTCTTAGGGACGAGTTGGAGGGTGGCGTTCTGACTACTTTATATCTCCTGATGAACTTATCTGGATAATTGTTATCAACCGGAGTTTGCGTCAACTTTCTTTCTTTATCAAGTGTGTCTTAGGCGCATATTCGTTGGATTCTACTGAAGAGGCACCTCACTCACTAAGGCTCTTTTGTACCTTTGTTTATTCTTCAGTGTGAAAGTGCCACTGTAGTATAATTACTGAAATTCCAATTAGTAAATCAATAAAGTAACTTATAGACAATAACATAGTTGCTGTCGTAAACTGAGGTTACGAGTAGAAATTGTACGCTTGTTAATCCAATCTTCAGATAAGAAGTTCGGTTAACTGTAAAAATCTAATTTTAGTCTTTTCAAAAATTTAATTTCAGCTCGGCCTCTCTTTGATTTTCTGTTTACTCGATGCATGTGCTCGTGCCTCCAATCCAACTGACCCATCTCATTTGTAAGTTTTCATGTTTTTGACAAATAAGTGTATATACATATATATTCTTTTGTGTGTGTACGGGGTAATTGACGTGAATAATTGAAATGGTACTAAAAGTGGTCAGTGTTTTTTAAACAATTTGTTGTATAGCTTCACAAAATCCGATTGATTGAAACTCAGATTATATTCCCCTGTATACATTTTATTTCTATCGATTTTGTGACCAGTTTTGTGAAGGTGACAACCCTTTGGCTCACTGAAATATGTAGATTGTGTTAATTGTGAAAGTGATCAGTTACCGTCTGAGTTCGTTGAAGATCATATATGCTCTTTGACTTCTTCATTGAATGCCTGTTTAATGCTAGACCGTCTAGTGGAAGCTGAATGAGAAGCGACGAGTTGGGCTTACCAAGCGGATGATATGAAGATGAAATGACAGCTTGTAGGTAGGTAGACAGGTAGAAAACCATGAGGTCTGAACATGGGCTGTTGAAGTCTTATGTTCCAGTCGGATGGCAAGGAATTAAATAATAATTATTTAATGCAATAACTAATATATAAAAGTACAGAAGAATATTATAATGATGATATCTAGAAATGATAAATCAATAGGTAGGTGGTGATTTCTTATCAATTTATTAACTGTCAGAAATTTGAATGACATCTATTGGATAGCTGATTCTTCCTAATTTGGTACTCTTTAGTAATACGAATCTGTGACCCCACAGGGAGGGGACTTTTAGGTCACTAGGTCAGATTGTCAACTGGGTGTATATTCGATTATTTATGAATGCTAACTCGCGTTATTTCGCAATATATAGGGCTACCACCAGTTGATGCCATTGCTAGGATAGTAGATGCCACTGACGAGTGGGTCATTGAACTCCGACCCATGTGGCCTTGTGAACTGAAGGTCCTTGACATTGTCGTAGTAAGTTCTCACTGCTGTGGAGTACTAAACTAGGAAGGAACAGCTGTTCAAGTGCTGTTTAATTTTACAACGATTGTTTAACTCTGGTGTCGGTTCGTGGGGCGTAATCCACACTGATCAATTCAGCCTTCTTGTACATTTCATTTCAAAATATTTCATTTAAATTCACATCACTGATTACATATTTAAATATAATTTTCTCTCCTTTCCTATTTTCTTGAAAAAAAACAACAACAAAACAAACAACAACTATAGTATTCAGTTTGGAGCATACTTCAGCTATGTGAATTCATTTGTTGATCTCAGCAACCAAACTGATGGTGATGATCGCCCACGTGTAATGGAATCTTTCCCACACTTGGCATCAATTCTCATGTTGTACATTAAGCCATCAAGATATCATTATGTAGTCACTGATGAGCATTTGAATGTATTCTGTGAACTAGCGAAAGGGACTACTAAATTATTAACTAATAGTAATGGAAGTAATAACGTATTGTCAACTAATAGTATTATGTCTAGTCGACCAAGTGATTTCCATCCTTATACAATGAATAATAATAACAATAATAATAGTGCCAATTTGAATAGCTATAATCAACAACATAAAATTATTGAAAATGATCGGTCAAAAACAAGCGATCTTCAGAATTCTGGAAAGATTTTATTGTAAATACCTCTGAATAGAGAATTATGTGTTTATCGATAGCTGTGGGCTAATTTACTCACCTATTCCGATAATACGTAAGTTGTTTTGTTTACTTTCCTTAGTTTTTCTGTATATATTTTGTTTCCACTAACAAAACTACACATGTTGGTGTAGGCTAGCAGCTCTAAAGTTGAATAAATCTACCCAATCTCTAGAGAAGTGCGTCGGTGGTATAGCGGTTAGGACGCTCACCGACCATGCACATTGTCCGGGGTTCGATCCCGGCCGACGCACTCCTTTACCTCGCTAAACCAGAAATAATTCTGGTGAAGAGGAAAGGTTGGGCATGAGGCTAGCAACCCCATCCTGTAAAATAAACTGCTACAGAAACTTCAAGCCACTAGCTTGAAGCCCTATGTTCCACTGGGGAACGTGAAGGAAAAGAAGAAAGAAGAAATAACTTGGAATTACTGGTTAGCGAAGTGAAAGACGTTAAATCTGAGTTGTTCAAGCATTGTATTCGATAGAATTTAACTGTGTAAGTTAGCCAATGCTATGGTAACGAATATCAATCAATATCAACTTGTGAAGGAAAAAAAATCTCTAGAGAAACTTTGACACACAGACATACAAAATATAAGGAATAATCTCATCCTCCTTTAGAATGAGAAAGAGGAAGTGACAGGGGCTGATGAATGAATGCCTTCGGGAAGCTAGTCAGCCGATATCTTGTTTCGAACAAGCATGTGGACATACAATGTTCTCACAGTGACTGGAAAGACTGCTCAGATTAACAAAGAAGTGACTGAATGCTGTGTAGAAGTGCTCTGTGTTTATGAGAGCAGATGAAATGGAGTTGGACTATGAAATTGTTTAAGTGAAATGCAAATAGTCTACTTTGATCAAGTAGGCAAAAACCATGAACACACACTAACCGTGTGGCTATCATGATGTCACCAACAGCATCTAAAGCTCTTTTTCATTGGGGACCAATCTCATCCAGATTCATTACTGCAAGATTCAACTCAAAAGGAAGGGAAGTTACAAGTGAACAATGCTACGCACCTACAAACAATGCAGACCAAGAGAAAACGGATTTTTTCTTACAGACAACTGCAAACAGTAGTAGACAAAATCTCAGTTAGTTGACAACACCAAATCCTCATGAGATAACACAAGAAGAGAACTCATCGTGTATCTGAATGGAGGTACTAGGTAAAACAAATGAGGATGAAGAGTCGTTCGCATACTTCTGCGAGGCAGTGTGTACAAGTAAAAGGATGTTCGTAAAGCTACGTGAGTTTCACCAGTAGGACACACCGAAACCCAGACAAACTTCACCTCAATCTAGTGGGGGTTGAGACACAACTTACTGGAAACAAGGTTGAGAAGAGGGGCCGACTACTAATTATCTGATTCAAGTAATCGCCGGGATTAAGTTGAAGGATTTCACGGAAGCTGGAGAAAGACCACAATCCAAGTTCAACACACAGAGGCTGAACGACGAATCTAAAAAGGACACATTCACTGCAGCCATCAGAGCAAAGTAGGGGACATTATCTGGCATTGATGAGAAAACCTGTGTGGAAGAATACTGGGACTCTTTGAGAGTGATATTGAAGGGAAGCAATATAGTCCTTTTAGATGGAAAAAAAGGAGAGACAAAGAATCTCTGTCTATAGACACGGAGGAGGGAAGAGGAGAGAGAGATATAGAAAGAGAAGATGAATCGTTGCAGAGAAGGACAATGAAAGCCATTGAAATCAAGATAGAGTGAAACTGTCACCGATGATATTCCTGATTGTGGTGGACTGGATCATGCAGTAGACTGTAGAAAGCTAGGCGACAGGCATACGTTGGACTGATGAAAAGACTCAAGAATATCTGGAGTTAGTGGACGATTTATGTGTACTACCACACAAAGTCTAGGATCTACAGGTGAAGACGAAGAAGTTGAGAAGAGAGTCAGCGAAGTCATGACTTCAGGTGAATACATAGAAGACAGAGATGTTGAAGATACCTCACAGTATCAGTCGACATCAATGGGAAAAACCTCTTTCACTTGAGTGTGCAGCATCACTTCAACTACGGGGCCGTTGATGACTAAAGCAAAATTAGGCATGGTCGAATTGGAAAGTAAGATAATTGGTGTGGAGATCTATATGACAGCACAACACTAATATGAAGTCAGTGTTGTATATCTCAGGTAATTGGCTGGCGCATCATCACCAGCTGTCTCCAATGGATACTGAAAATCAAATGACCGGTCGGAAAGCCCAAACAGCAAACAACCGAACAAGAACCTAACTCCCCAAAACGATTCAGAAGGAAGTGTAGGTAGATTGTATGCACATTGAAGAGACTGATGTGCGACACCACCAGGTGCCAAGGCTTCTAGCGGGAAACGACGAGTTTGGCATGGATTCGATGGTGACTTCGGGGGTGTGAATGTAACCTTATGTGCAATCATAGTGTCAACTAAAAATGACTGTGGAGGATTGAATGAAATGGCGATTTGTTGCTTTGGCCCTCTGTTCCAAGACGGAATAATAATAATAATGTAATGATGCTTATGTTATCATTCAGGTAAATGCATTCGCAGTTAGTAGTTTACTGTGAAACTAACTGTCCGATTCACTTCGTTAGTGTTCACTCTTTTCCTGACCATTAATTAAGTTAAACAGCATCGGTTTGTATATGTGTAGGTGGTAGGTTAGTTAGTATTTGTTGGCTGTGCCATTCTGACACACACACACACACTGACTATTGGCGGATAAACCGAGGTGTCAAGAGTTGAGTTTCCACTGCTAGTTGCAGCCTCTTCTTTTTGTACATTTGTTCGTTCCCTATATAGAATTTATTGTTGTTTTAGATGTTTAATTTTCTATTGTCATCCTCCTCTTAAATATTTCTTGTAGCTATTAAATATTATCAAAGCGTTGGGAGAGGGGAACACGTACGCGCTCCATCTACATGAATTCTGAGTTACTCATGATATGTAAGATTCGTCTGTATCAAATTTTTTAATTAGCCTTCTTCTCCATGTTCTATTCCTCTCTCAATCCCTCCCTCCCTCTGGAGCACACAAAATCTTCGAAAATGATGTATCTGTATACTACTCACACATTGTTTTGTTCAATCACAGTATATATCATGTGAAACCTCTGCGGTCGGTCAATTCACCACTGTCATCTTTATTCATTAATTGAATCATATAATGTCAGTCATTATAATGGGACACTTATTTGATTTTTAATGCCCACGATTGTTCCAAAAAGAACGCTTTTTTGTATTATGTTCGTCTCATTTTTTCCCCTACTTATTCCATGTATTATTGACAAACAGTGTCATCAACTCTTAATCTCCCCCTCCATTTTAAACTGACCTGCTGCACCATTTCAAAGTCCCCACTGCTAATCACATTTACTTTTTTTCTCTCTAGAGAATACAGCCTATTATATTCTCACACCTTCTAGAGTGGTTCATTTCATTCATTCAATTCTTCTTCTCTTGTTTTTTCTTTTACCTGCGGACACTTTTTCAGCTTTTGGTATATATATTCTCTTTCTCAACTTTTCAATGCTTCTTGCCGTGTCCCCTTTATCATTATCACCATCACCACCAGCATAGTTGTAAACATTTCTTTTTTTTAACCCTACTTTTCCAACAACACCCATACGTTGAGGTTTGTCCGTTTTATTTTATTATATTTCTTCTGTTGGGATTTTGTATTCGTGTTTGCATGATATGCATGCATGTGCGAAGCGTACAAATATAATGTGCGCGTTAAAAGCAATCTTTCGCTGATAGTGAGTTATTTGCACGTAAATTACAAATGGATGACTTTTGTGGTTGATTGTTGTGTTTCTGTTTTTTGTTCTTGTTTGTTTTTGTATTTCTCTCTCCAAACTCTCTCTCCATTAAACTGTAAGTTTGTAAGTTTCTATTGTAATGAAGAAACCTCGAAATTTAGAACAGCACAACTCTGTGCGTCTAGTAGTAGTGGTGTGGTGACACAATGTATTGTTCAGTTTGCACTCTACTCCATGATGAAATCTGATTGGTGGATGGTGACTAGCAGTGGAATCAAGGACAACGCGCATTTCGTCCTATTTTGGACTAGTCAGCTGAATGTACCTGCATTTCCCAAGGGATGATGGTGTTCCCACCGAGGCTCGAACCCAGTGCCCATAGTTTCAAATGCCAAAGCGTTATCCACTTGGGCCACGAGAGCCATCTCTTGTGCAATGGGTCATATTAATTTTAATTGAATTTTAGATTTTCCGTCAATTGATTGGACTGAAGTATTCGGTACGTCCGGATGCGCATCCTGGATTCCACTGCTAGTTATTATCCACCAATTAAATTCTAATTAAATGGCCAGACATCGTCAAAGCATCTGCACAAAAAGCCGACATGTCAACCTGAGACCGAGCTTTTTGGTCCAATTAATCGACGGGAAAATCTAAAATTCAATTACAATCATGATGAAATCGTGTTTTTTAGACTGTTGAACTAATTTGGTGGAGATAATTCGGAATACTTCAGTCAGGTCGCTTGACCTGTGTGGCTTTTCCAAGCGTGTGTAGCTTGTTGTTAGCACAGTGATCTAAGCATCATTAAATTGACACCGAACTTTCAGCTTAGAACTTTGTGCGCAGGTGAATCAGTTCAATTATCCATACATTATAAAGCACTTATAAGGGTAGCAAAACATACAGATACAAATGAAATAACTATAATATTACAGTGAATTATGATGAATCTCAGAGTTCATAAAGAGTGAAGGAGATTTCGAGCCATATCACCGATAGTTTTTCTAGCCGTTGGTTTTTAACATTCCGAGGACTGAAAACAAGCAGTTTTCACCTCTCTAGATGTTGTTTGACCACTCTTAACTCTTTTCCAACTTAATCTTATGTCAGCTGACATTGCTCGTCGAGAAGAAAAGCAGTGGCTGTGTATAGGTGACACGTTATGTTGCAGGCATTTCAGTCAGTGAAATTTCACAGCCTCATCGACTAACTTAGCCTTCTTTCGTACCACGCTGCACCTAACCACTATATCACTGACTATAATATACCAATTAATTATACACATAGAGTAGAGCAAACACCTATGGTTAATGATAGCTAGCCTCTTAAAATCTTCTTTCAACGGCCATACTTCATTGCTGTAAAGAAGGGCATAGCGAACTACTGCTCCGGATATAATGTCTATTCCAGAGATGATGGTAGTGGCCAAATATCACAGGAATCTTTTGTATCCTTCCTGAGAATTCGTTAGTAATCTGATGTAATTACTCTAAAGTGTGAAATGGTCAACACTACCAACCGCTTAAGTCGATATTCTCGAACTAAAACTCAACAAAAGGTGATATTCATTGTAACAAGGATAGGTAACAGATACTTAAATAATGCTATTGCGATATTGTAGGCATATATTTACGACTGGTCCTTACCACCTCTACAATGTCTACATACCGCTTCTGTGACATAAGAAAGTGCTTTTCTAAATACCTAGTGTTTATATTACTTAATCTATGTTGTATAATAAATAAATAATAGAAGTATAACAAAACTGTCCCTCTATTGAGACGAAAAGTATGTGAAATTATGGACAAGAGAAAAAAAACAACAAATGCTAAATGGTTAAAAACTAAAATATTCATTAAGTGATGCATTTTGATGAAAAACTATAGCGCACTTATTTCGTAAAAATAGGAATTAGATAAGCTAATTGCAAGTAATAACGTATAATCTGGATTTAAAATCATTTGTGTGCTTTTTTTTTATTTTACATAATTCGATTATGTCTTATTCGCAATTTAATTCATCCCGCAATAGAGAGATAATAGCGTAGACGCGTTTTTCTTTCTGTGCGTTCATTTTCACATGTTCGAAATCAATTTATACCGAATTGAGGCCAATAAGGTTGCAAATTAATCAATGCCCCCTTTCATAACGAATTCAAGTGAATAATAACAAGCTGTGGCGGGTTTTAAGTCGAAAATTTGTGTAAATTAATCCGAATGGCTAGAAAAATTCGTAATCTCAATCTTCACAACCCGTTCGTTGGTAGTTACCGGATGGATGTCATGAAGTCGTAATGTGAAAAATTTTGGCCGGTGGGATCCACCATCTCAAGGTGACATGACTGCTCATCGATGGCATTGGCTGTAAAAGCATATTACGAATTGACAGAATTCACGGGTCATTGAATTCCAGCCCAAGTAGCTGTTGAGTGGTCAGCGAGCTTGAGCCTGTAGTCTGAGAGTTTCATGTTCGACTCCTGGTGGAGGTCGTGTGTGCGCATCTCACTGAAGAGTATCAAACTGTCCAATGCCCGTGGTTTTCAATGACATCTAATTGATTTTAGTTCTTGACAAAATCTACACTGAAACCAATCGAAATCCCTACAAAGACCCATTTACTTCTACATAAACAAGCCATATGTACAGGCGAGAACACGTGTACGCGATGTCAATTATTGCTAATTTGTAATATACCGTCGAATATTCCTCTAAAATTAGACGGGACTGAACTGCTTGCTATTGGTCTGAATAACCAAAATATTAAAGATAGTGTTGCTCTATTAGATACATGTTCGATTAGGTCACTGAATAAACTACGAGTTATGAAATAGGCTATTTTAAGATTTTATGCTGATCTCTAGTTATCACCCTCCTCAGCTTTGAAAATCACGTTATTCTTCTCTACTATTCATTATTATTTGATCACCAGAGTCATGTAGAAACATTTTTTTTCAAAGGAGGATGTCTTTATACTGACAATGGAAATTTGGTTAGGGTATGAATGACCTTACTCATTATTGACAAGGATGTCAAATCGAGAATCGGGAAGGCGAGAAACATATTCATCAACTGGAAACCTTCGTCACTCAGCTTCAACAACAAAATTCGGATTTTCAATACAAACGTCAAGTCAGTTCTTCTATACGGATCAGAAACTTGGCGGGTCACAAAGAATATTTCCAACAGCCTGTTGCAGACCTTTATCAACAACTGTCTTCGCTCTATACTGAAGATTAGATGGCCGGAAAGAATCATCAACAAGAAACTATGCAAACAAACAAAACAAGAACCAATCGCCCAACAAATATGCAGGAGAAAGTGGAGATGGATTGGACACTCGCTGTGGAGGCCGTTGGGTGACATCGCGCGTCAGGCCCTTGAGTGGAACCCGAAAGGGAAGCGACGAGTGGGACGTCCAAGGGTGACATGGAGGAGATCGTGTGAAGAAGAGTTGAAACAGTATGGACTAACATGGATGCAGGTGAAAAGTACAGCAGAAGACAGAAGCAAGTGGAGACGTGCAGTTGAAGCCCTATGTTCTACTAGGAACCCAAGGGAATAATAATAATGAATGACTACTACTTTCAGTAGTAGACAGCCTTCTGTGCCAAGTCCATTACAGTTGTAAGAGTAGCAAAGTACCAAGAGACATTAGGAAATTACATGAATGATGCTGCATTCGAATTATAGAATAGTCATTGATATTCAACGTTTACAGTGTAGCACATCAACGGAAGAGGTTTGCTCGTTATACGACGACAATTGGAATAGTAATGTTCACAGATGCAGACGTTTCCCCTGTTAAGTGTTAGGCGGTTTCTAGACGAGCCTGTAGTTACAGTCGTTTTCAACTGTACATTACTGGACCTTAACATTCAACTTTTATTGTGCTGAATTCCTCATATTGCAGGTGTCTATAAAAATTACATGGGTGAAAAACTTGAAGGATGAATGAAGACCTCGGCTTGTGAAATTACTCCAGGAGGGAGAGTAAAGGGAAGCAAATTGGATTTCCGGAGTTGATATTGAATGTCAAAAGAGTGTTGTAAGAGATCTGTAATCTCTGATTTATCGTAAACTGCTTCTAATCCGATGTTATTAGGGTAATCGTTTACAAAGTATGAGAACAGTCGTTTCATAGAACTGTTTCTTATATCTCTAGAAAGAAAAATATTTTACAGTTATTAAATTAGACCTATACTTTCTCCGGCAGTGGGTCACTTTGACGGAAGTTTGATTTCTGTGTATTTAATTTTTTAGATGAGACAAACATGAAGCCACTGATGGGGAAATACATAAGCATTTTCTGTATCCAGTAAGGTTCCAGGTGGAACTTAATACATTAGTTATAGTAATATATACAGAGATTCCTACTAACTAACCTCAGTAAACACCATTTGTAGGATTTCTTACTCTGCAACTGTCTTTTGTTGAGACACTGTCCGTAATAGGGGGACAACCTGTAACGCAGGATTTTAGATTCAGGTATCCTGAAGTTTTGGATTAGAGATCCAAGTATTTTTTAAATTTTATTTTTGAGACCTGTGTAAATGCAAAAACACTGCAGAGTATACTGAGCCCAAATCTTGTGTAAGTGGCAGTTGAAGAAACTGAAACTGGTTTTTCATGCATCTGGGTATATTCCAGTTCTCAGAGATGTGGAGAAAATTTTAAGGAGAAGGAAGTTATTGTGGTCACTAATAACCTTCCCATTTTCCAGAATGAATGGAATATCAAACTTAGGAAAGTTTTGCCCTTTACGAAAAGGCCTACAAATTGCAATGTGAATTTAGAGTAACATTTTCTCACTGCTTTTCTTGTGACTTAATGTGAATATTTTGTATATTCACTTTCGTAGTTTAGCTCTTATTTTTCTAGGGATGAAGTACCTTATTGTTTGATTTGGCTTTGCTTTGGATTTATGAACGAGTTTGCCACACACATTGATGCACTGTGATAAAGTAGAAGGAGGGTAGTGTTTAGGTTGCTGCTTGAAAAGAACAGGTCGCTGT